CTTCTTTCTGCAGCCACCATTCTGGCACATGGAACCATACAAATATATTCCTTAGGGTAAATAAGAACAAGAGTAGAATTGATGAGTGAAATACTATTACTACTTTTACTCCAGCTGGCTTTATCTTGGTTTTGATGTTTTATTTACTTTTTCCCCACCACCATCCCTTAAATGTCCTTGTTCCTTTCTCTCCCACTTCCTCTTAAGACCACAGTGATCCCCATGTTTTTTATTGATGTGCACTGGTGTTCGAAAGTGTCCCAAGCACTGAATTGTCTGCAACATAAATGTCCAGCATTTGCTTTCATCATTCTAACTTGTACCTATTGTTTGTCAAGTTTCTTTCTTCAACAATCAATTCAGAGTCTTCTCATGTTGGTAGATGGAGGACCCTATGTTCTTTTCAATCACCACATCTTATTTCCTATTATTAGTATACTATAATTTATTTATGTAAGGAAATTAGAATGAAAATATGTCAGTGGAGAAGAATGATTCTAGACACAGGTCCTTGTATATAAAAGAATGAAAAAAATGATAAGATTGCATTTCAAATTAGATGATGCCCTGAGGCAACGTCTTATGACTCCTGCTGAAACAACTGTGTGTGTCCTGGGGAGGCAGAGGAAAGAAGCCCTGGCTCCATTAGATTCACTGGTTTCATCATCTTTTCAGGTTTTCTTTGCTGTGTCCTCTCCCTGAAGTCGCTGGTGGTGTCAACTAAACATGAATAGAAGACACTCTGGAGCCATTCCCCGCGTGCCCGCACCAGGGACCAAGAGGAAGGCATATGAATATATAAGACGCACTCCACCGCCCCCTAATATGCTGAATTTCTTAGTGGGGAGGCAACTGGGGAGGCACAGGAATGATATGGATCTGTCAAAATGGCTGTGGATGCTGACAAAAGAATCACCAGGGTGGAGCTGGCCCTTGCCAAGAAGTCATATAACTTACCTGCTCATGCCTATCCGTATACTTGAGACTCCCCAAAGTGTGGTTTAGCATAACAAACTCCTCCCTGGTTTCAGCTGCTAAAATAAAATCACATTTTCACTCAGTTTTGGTTTGCTACATCTTTACACCAGCACAGCTCTCTTGGGTTCCATGGAGAGGGGATTCTATTGATTGTGACAGTCTCCGCAGACTTGGGAAGATGGGAAACCACTCTGTACTTTAGATTTCTTCTGCCTTTAAATTAAAACTAAAAGCAAAGAAATAGCTCTGTAGTTCTCAGCCACTTATAGACCCAAGAATCCTTTCCCCTAGGCTGGTAACTGAAGAATTGCAATTCAGGAAACACATGCTACACAGCAAATGACAGGCAAGTCTGTGAAGGCTTTTTGTTTTGTTTTGCTTTTGGTGGGTGGGGGACTATATTTATGTACAAGGAGTGCAAAGAGGGAGAAATATGGCCATAATTCAAGCATTATATTCATTGGCTTGAGGATAGGGAGAGATTTCTTGGTGGATATTCACTGGTCAGGAAATAATCCTTCAATTTCTATAAATTAAGCATTAGGGGAAATCAGTTCTTAATTTTTAAGTTCAGTTGTTCTAAAGATAGAGTTGTTTCAAAGATTCTCCATTTCATATCCTCCGGTTCCATGTTATTTTGAAATCCTTTCACACTATGAGGGAGCATATCCACTTTGCAGTCCTCTGTCATAAAGTAGTTCACAGAGATGAGATCACATCACACTGGCCTATGGTATTGATGATGATTGGATCTAGTGAACAGGAAGCAGCAAATACTGAGTGTCCACTGGCTCTAGCTTGAAGCTCAGTGATTGTCATGCTGTTTCCAGAGACAAAGCTCTGCAGAAAGTGTTCTGTTCCCAGCCCATTGTTTGTGACCTAGGATCATCCTGCCATCAATTATCATCACAATAGGGTCCAATAGAAAGGGTATTATTACAATACTCTTGAGGATAAATATTCAACAAGAAACCAGTCTACCCTTTGGAGCTGAGAAGAGAAAATGATGGTGTAAACTAGAAGGGGTATGAGCTCATGTCCAAGAATAAAAACATGCATATGATTGTGGTGGAGAGTGTGGGGAGAGGGTCCTTTCCAGTGCACACATTTCCCCCCTAGATCTTTAGATGCCCTTCACTCACCCCCCCACCTTTTCCAGATGTTCCCATAGCTTCTTCTATATAGCTAACTTGAGGGGCCCTAGAGACAGTGACCTCAAAGTCTCAGTGCCAAATTTTTTCTAAGTTCACCAGACTGCTGACCCAAATATAAAAGCTAAGAGCTTTAAGGACTAATTACCTGTCAGCAGTGTGATCATATGTATATGCTGCTCTCCCTTTAATTCTCAAAACAACCTTAGAAGCCATTTTACAAAGAGGGTTGGTGGCGGGGGGTTGAGGTACAAAGGAGAATAGGGGCATGCCTAAGTTATACAGCAGCGAGCAGAGCCACAATTAGAACACCTGTGATTTAACCCCAGAGCTGACACTGATGATTGCAGCAGTCACACTGCCTCCCCATGGAAATAGGGACTCTTCACCGTTCACTCTGTGTCCTTCGGGGGAGATCTGGAGTATGAGAGAGTTAGAAGGGATAATGCTAGGTGAAATAAGTCAGAAGAGAAAGATAAATACCAGATGGTATCACTAATATGTGGAATACAGAGGAATCAAACTAAGGGTCAGATAAAGACAAGCTTAAAAACTAACCCTTGAAAGCTGACTCTGGAACGGAAACATCTACAGCGGGGGTGAGGGCAGAGAAGGGGGATAAGAGCAAAGAGAGAAGGAAGCACAATGGACTGTGGTGGCGGGCTGCGGCTAAGTTGGTGGGGGGTGCATTACCTTTCAATACCTGGTGGAGTATCTTAATATTGCCTCAATTGTAAAGAACAAAAGAGAGGCAGAGACAAAGATGATACCAAATGCTCTTGGTTTCCCTTGGCCAATGGAAGGACAGCAGTTTAAGTTGTGAACAAATTGAGGAGGGCAACAGACTCATACATGAAAGACCACAGTCCTGCTCTTTGGCAGAGGGCAGCAGCATTTATCCAAAGTTACAGAGAAGTAGAAGGAGGGGAATGGGCAAGGCTTAGCATGTTCACCCTTGTGATTCAGGTATCTGGAGATTCTTGAGGAGATTCAGGCTGGCGCCAGCTTGCTTTGCTATCACCTGGTGGTCAGCAATTTTGATTGCTATCGTCCTAGGGACGTTCTTCCCTTGGAATGTAAGAAAACAAGGTCATTAAGCCTAGAGGGTAAATAAAGAAGATAGCAATGCTTATCTGGTGGGACAGGAAGAGAAACATGTCCTTTATTCCTGTAAGAGAGACACAGAGAGTCAGAGACAGAGACAGAGACAGAGAAAGAAAAGGAAGGGAGGGAGGAGGGAAAGATAAACCTTGGGAATGAAACTTCCAGGCCAAACTACATAAAGTGACTTGCTGAGGTAAGGCCTATCCAGGGCACTCAAACAAATCAGAATGGAGCAGTAAGACACTGTGATGTCCCGAACAGAAAACAGAAATTAATCTTTCCCTTTCTATCCTGTTGCCTCAGTCTGGCAAGCTCTCTCTGCATAGGCTCTGGAAGTCATCTTCTTTGGGGGCTCGGAGGATGCAGCCTCTGTACCCTGCGGTGGCTCTCCTGGGATAGGAGGATCAGAAGCCGCTCCAACACCAGCAGTCCAAGATCTACTATGGTGCACATCTCAGGTCGAAGTCACCTGTGGGCAAACTCCAGCAGCAGCTGGAGTATTTCCCGGGGACTAGGGCCTTTTGGAAACTGAACACTCAGAAGTGCGGGTGGGATGCCTTCACGCTGGGCCCTTGGTCGCACTCAGGGAGCTCCTAGTTCCAGGTGTAGATACTCCCGTGTTTGCACAGCCAGGAGCTCTTTTTTTGCTCCAGGAAACCTGGACCAGGCACCATGGTCAGTCTCCCCAACGATCTTTGCCCTGAAACCAGCTGCCAACACCAGCTAAGGTGCCTGGCCCTGAGCCAAAAAACAACATTGGCAGGAGTCGGTGTGTGCGTGGTCCAGTCCCAGCCCACAAGCCCAGCTCTACCCTCGTGGAGCTGTCTCCAGAGCCTTGCCCTCGGTGGCTTGGGGGCTGGGGGGTGCCTGCCTCTGGTCTCGGTTCCACTAGAGCCTCCGGGAGGCACAGTTACAGGCAGCTCCCTACCCATATAGGACTAGCCCCTGGTCCCACCTAATTAGTCCCAGCACTAAAGCTGGGCGTCCAAAGACCAGCAGGGCTGGCGTGGGGCCAAAGTGAGAACTACCATTTCCTGAATGACAGCATCGCATCAGGCATCAGGCCAGGCTATGCCTCAGCAGCGACCAACCAGAAGGGACAATTTTGACTCGGGGGTGAGGAGGTGGGATGCGGGGGTAGGGTAAGGGGTGGGGTGGGGGCGGGGGAGCAATGGGAAGACAAGAGGCGGGGTCATGCAGCGAACCCGAAGAGCTCAGAGATCTCTGGTGGTCGCACTAGAAGAGCAACGCACGGGGTCGCCGGGGGCAGCTCTGTCTTTAAGAATATAAGGTGGCTCAAGGCCTCTGACCCACGAGCGCCAGGCCCGAGACTAAGCCCTCAGAAAGCTTCCTAAAATACTAACTCCCAAACTCATGCGCGTTTCAGTGCGTGAGGGTGTCGGGGTGGTGCCCAGAAATTTGTGTATTTAGCAAACTCTCCCCTCAAAATTCTTCCTACACAGAGGCTTGCGAATCAGTGATCCAACCAGCAGATTTGAAGATTCTAACCCACTCCCGTAGCGCGAAGGGTTGACGGGAAAGAAGCTCTCACCCGCATCAAGACCTAGAACACGCCCCATCGATCCCTGCGAAGAGGTTTAGGACCGGAAATGGGGTGACTTCCTAAGCCGCAGAATCCTGCAGCAGGCCAGGGAAAGTCACAGCCTCTCCACGTCAGCAGCCTCCTGGCCCGGACGGCTGGGCGGACGGCGCGAGGCCTCATGGGAGATGTAGTCTGGCGCGAGCCCGCGCGCCTGCGCCCTGGGTAGTTGCACCCGGTGAGCCTGAGAGAGCCGTGGGCGCTGAGGCGGTGAGTCCCGGAGCGGCCAGAGGGCGTGGCCGTCCCTGGGGCGCGGGCGCGGGTGCGGGTAGCGGGGCTCCCAACGCCCGCTCGGGCTACGCTAACGGGCCACCTCCAGGCCTGACTGGGCGGCGGGTGTGGGGAGGAACGGCGGGCAGCGGGCCCCTGTCCGGCCCGGATCCCCTCCCCGCTCCCGGCGACCCGGCCGGGCCTTCCCGAGGGGCCGCTGGCCTGGAAGCGCCTCTCCAAGCTGCGGGACGTCCTCGCCTGGGAGCCTTGGGGGCCGCTCCCGCGCACCCAGCATCCGGTTTTAACCAGCTTATAGTCTTTTTAGGGACGTGCCCCCCTGCTTTTCCCGGGTACCCCTCTTTTCACACACCTAGATCCCTCGGCCTGTGAGCGCGTGTGCCTTAGCAGACTTTGGAGAGAAGCCATCAGCCCCACGGGGAAGTTTTCTTCCCAAAGGGCCCCTGGACGGGAGCCCGCAGTCGGGCCCTGGGAGACTCAGGGGAGGGTTTGGGTCACCCAGGGGAGGGCTGCCTGGCTGTGAGGCTGCTGCGGGTGAAAGGTGGGGCCACAGCCCACAGCCCGAACCACACGGCCCTGGACGCCCTCCAGCCCTGGTGGGGGCCTCAGCTGGGGAAAAAGAAGCTTCTAGGAACCAGTCCTCAGGAGCAGTGGTCTTTCTTGAGAGTTTTCTCTGTGCCAGGCACATTCGCTTTCCATGGATTCTGGTATGGATCCGGGGCGGGGCATTTTATGAAGTAGATACTGTGCTGATGCTCTTGACGCTTAGGGGAGCACCGGGGGCAGGATGCACAAGGTTATCACACCAGGAAGAGCAGTGGGCTGCCAAGTCCCGAGGAAGGTCCAGGGATGTGGATGATTGGGTGGCACGTGAAGTGGGTTTTTTACTTGGCCCACTGCAGGAAAGGGGACAGTACCCGAGCTTTTCATCAGGTACCGGGAGAGGACCGATAGCAGGTGGGCAGGTCCTGCCCTTGTCACCTGTGGTGACATGCATGTGACTGGTAAGGACAGAAGAGGGCTCTCCCTAGCACCCCCTTACCCACCAGGAGCACAGCTGCGTCTCTGCCACCCCACAGTCCAGCAGGGCCCATCGCTCTTGTTGCAAGGACCAGATACTTCTGGCAGGTCTGGGAAGAGTTTTAACTACAGTTCTCCCCAGACTCCAAGAGAGGGAAGGAGGGAGGGGGAGTTTCAGTTAGTCCCCAGACTGCAGAGAGTGATGGGAGCAAGGTATGCATGGTGAAGAGGGACCCTCTGACCCCAGAAAGGAAAAGCCTAGAAAACCCTCCCGCCTTACTGCTCAGGGCGGCTCTCCTGTTCTCCTGCGACACCCACTGCTTCTCGCAGTTCTCTGTCCTGTGGCTTCCTAATAAACTTTGTTGCTGGCTCTATCCTGGTGCTTCGTGAAATTCTTTTCTTAAGAGACCTCAAGGACCCTCGGGTGTCACGTCCTCAACATGTGACAGCTGTGAAGGGACATTTTGCCCATGCATTTTTCACCAGATCCCCAAATGAAGTCCTATGAGCACTCATTGAAAGCGAAGGACGGTTAAGTGGTGAACTAAGCTGGGCCCTGCTGGTCCTTGCTCTCTTCTCCATTTTCTTTTTTTCCCTCTCTCTGGCTTTCTGTTGTCCTTCTGACCATCTCAGGACACAATCTCATCTTACACTTGGAGGGTAGCTTCCTGGTTTTGGGGTGATGGGAAATCCCTACACCATGCAGATTCAGACCTCCTTTAGTGGGACCTCACAGTCCTCTTGGGAGGCTGCCAGGAGTTACATCTCTGTGCAGAGTAGGAGTCCCTGAGGCCACTGTGTTCTCAGCCCCACTTCTTCCTTATTAACTACCTTAACCCCTCTGCCACTGGTTTGGATTTCAGGGAATATGGGGCCCAGAAACCCTCTCACTTGTTTCCTACAGGCACACTTGGAAGGCTGGTCTCAGGGATGGCCCTGTCCTTTCTGTGTTTGCACCAGTCTATCTCAAGCATATTCTCTTGTGGCTATTTCCTTTTTGAAAGTCTTACAGTCACCTCCACGACTCACACCTTATCACTCTGCTCTCTGGCCTCCTCTCACCTGTCATCTTTGCCTGGGCCCCTGGCAGTCTTGGCACTTAAATCCTCTTCTCCTTTGTTCCATGTGAGCCAGTAGAATTGGCACAAGGCATTTCTGGCCCACGACCTTCTCTCTTTTTTTAATGCCCAGAGTCATGGTATACATCCAGGAACCCCTACTCTTATACTGGGACACCGTCTGTACAGGTCTTACCTCTCTGGTACCCCAAGTAGGTGCAGAGAGTGGAAACCTTCTGGGACACTGAGGTTTAAAGGGGTCCCTTGGGATGTGGGGCCAGGCAGAGCCCCTTTGCATGCAGGGCCAGACAGGAAGAGAAATGACTTGTCTTTCTCCTTCCTCTCTGGACAATGATCCCATCCCTGCTTTTAGGTCATGGAAATGTTTTCTTTACTCCCCTCCCCCCTAGTTTACCTTAGGTTGTATTAGTCACCATTAATCAATTAAATTTAGATTCTTTCAGAAAAAAATTCATCTTTCTCTATAATGTGGCCTGTCCACAATACACATTGAAGGATGGTAAAACCCCTGAGAATGGGTATCTCAGCTTGAGCCCTGTTTTATCATTGGATCCTTACAGTTAGGTTGGAAAGTGCTCTGAACTGGCTTCTGCACAGGTTTTGAGTAAGTCAGGTATTGGCTTTAAAATGCAAATTCGGTAACTAACACTTGAATAAAAACCTTTTGGGCTTTGAGACATCTAAGAAAATATTTAAAGTCACCTTTTTCTGAAAATCCTACTTCTCCCACTTCACTTACACCCTCAGTTCCACTTTCTTACGATAAAGGTGATAAAATCCCATCATTTGTGGTAAGCCAGGCAGGAGGCATGAGTTTTATGATACTAATCATTTATTGGAATGTAACATTCCAGGAGAAAAAACTTTGCTACAGAGACTAAAGAAAAAAAATAAAAAACAGAGTCTTTAAATTCAAACTGCTGGGAACTTTCTCTTGACTTTGAGTTTTTATTAGGAGTTAAGGATTGTGGTTAAAAAAAATTTAAATGTGTATAGGAAGTAGGTAAGGAGAACAAACCAGGGGATAAGGAATAAAAAAGACATGAGGTTTATTTTGGTAAAGACAAGAAATACTATAGCATGTCATGAAAGATTTATGAAAGTTGATAAATGTTAATGGAATGAGGATAAGAAAAAAAAGAAAGATTTCAAATATGATTTATTGCTATCAGGTTCACTGGTTTGAAATTCTGTTCTAGAGAAACTAAAATTGCAATCATTTAGGTATTACGTCTTTCAATCTAAAGGAATAATGGGAATAATGATATAATAGTTCTTAAAATTGTTTGTAATTTAAGAATTAGAAAGTTATGATTTTAACTGTTAAAATTTTTAATTAAAGGACAAAAATATTTTTAAATTGTTGTCAATAAACTCTTTAGATAATCTTAAAATCTGCGACTTCAGGTAAGTGTCTTTAGGTAAAATCTCATCAGCAAGAGTTGAACTTTATTAAAAATATATTTGCATTTAAAGTCATTGCTGCCTTAGTTGCCTGGATAATTAAGTATGGTTTTGTGGTAATCTGTATGAAAGTTTAAACTTCCCCAGAATCAGAATACTAAGTCTTTAATTAAAAGGAAAATATTGGACATGGGCAGGAACTCCTAGGTAATACTCCCCAGGGAAGAATTTGCTGTCTCTTTGTGGGAAAGATAATAAGCAATAACCTATAGGTTAAAACTTCAGAGAAGCAGTCATACAAGGAGAAATATTCAACATGACTGACTAATAATAAAAATGTCCAAAAATTATATCAAACTTCTTTAAAAGTCTACTACATTCTGGTATACAATTACTGGGCCTTTCTGAGTAGTCCGAACTATTGTACACCCCCAAAGTTGAGCAGACTTTCTTGTCAGTTTGTTATAATCAGAACTTTAAGGGCATTTTAAAATCTTGTGCCATTTACAAAAACACTTACTGTAATGTTTTGTTCTCAGAGTAATTTGCGGAAATAACTTTGACTTTAAAATTCAGGTTTATCATGAAGCTGAAAATCAAGTGCAAGGTATAAAAAAAGAACTGGAGGCATAATAGTTGCAAACAACAGGTTAAAATAAAGATGAATCTAAATAAAATAAAAAATTAAGAAAACTTTTTATTTTCCTTAAACTATGACCTACAATAATGGTGAATTGCATTTTTTGTAAACAGAACTGAATCAATGCTTCTCCCTGACACCTTAAAACTTTCACTAAATATTCTGATTTTTCATAGTTTTTTTTTTTTAATAAATCCAGTAGGATTCTTTTCTCCCTCTCTATAATGGACAGCTGGAAACATGGTGTTTTACCAAGGTTTTGTCCAGAATAGTATGTGTTCAGGGAGCAGATTAGTTTCAAAGCCTACAAAGAAATAACCTGGGACCTCATTAAAGGGTATAGCTGGTCTATGGGGAGGGTAAAGAAGGTCACCATTTGGCAGGCCCAGAAATCCCAGGACATCTTGGGAACCTCAGGAGAAGAGGAATTTGTCCAAAGATGCTGGTATTATAGATGAAGCCTGATAGTGAGGCCTTGGTCTGGTCTTGAGTCCTAATACACTGGCTGTTTAAGGGCTCTCAATCTGATACTCCTTATAGTGAGGTCTAGCTAAGGTCTTGCTGAATTTATGCAAATTGGCCAAGCATATTTCAGGTAGACTTAACTTGCAAATAAATGAATTTTGTTGTGTTAAAGCTAGTATGAAGGTGGAGAGAAAACTGTATTTCAGTAATACACCTTTTTGTGGACATCAAGTGTTTATGCCTCTTAACCTTTTGACCTGTAAATAGACTGGAAATTCTTTGCACAAAAACTAGCTATATAAAATAATCAAATAACTCAATTTCTGCCTTGTACAGTTTTTTTTAAAGGTTTGTCCAGATTGGTCATTGCCCCCAAATTTCTCAAGATTAAAAAAATATACACTTACAGGCAGGATTGTAGTAAAGGCTAGATGATTAAATTGTTCTTAGATCTTAAAGAACACAAGAAAAAAATTACCTAAATTTTTCTCTCTGAGGCGTGTATTTACAGACAAGTAATAGCTACAGCCTTGAGTTGAGCTCCAGGATTGTCTGGAAACTAAAACCACCGGGGGAAAAAAAAAACTGTTTTCCTAGGGGTGGGGCAATATTAAAACATTGAATCCTACTCTGGATTCCTACTATAAACAGTCTTTTCTAATTAGTTTAGGTAAATTAATGGTTAATGGATTCATTCGGTCTTTTAGCTACTGTTAGTAAAATATGCTTATTTCTTTTGATCACAACCTTTGCTTCTTAAATCACATAGTCCCCTTTGTCTCTAAAAGGTTGATGTTCAAGGGATGTCAAATCCATGGAACTGGCTTACAACATGATCATCTTGGGTTTATCTTTTGGACTGTGCCTATTAAATTAATAAGTATCTCTTTCAGGATGTGTAGTATACATCTACAGATGATGGTCCAACAGGACCCTCAAGCTGCCCCACTCTTGATGGGACCTAATGCAAATGCTCAGTATGTCAGTTGTATAAAGCCTAGGGACCTCAGAGCAGGGCCCAGAGGCAGGTACACAACCTGATGCCAGCACAAAGGAGCTTCAGGTTAGACCTAGTCCCTTCACACCTCCAAAAGATTTTGGGTCCTTGTCTCGTGAGAGGGGGAATGTTAGAGATACAAATGGGCTCTCGCACATGCCCCTCGAAGAGCACAGCTGCATCTCTGTCACCCCACAGTCCAGCTGGCTTATCGCTCGTTTCAAGGCCCAGATACTTCTGGCAGATTGACTCCAAAAGAGGGAAGGATGAAGGGGGAGTTTCAGTTAGTCCTCAAAGTGGAACGAGTGATGGAACAAGGCATGCATGATGAAGAGGGACCCCACTGAGCCCAGAAAGCAAAAGCCTTGAAAACCATCCTACCTTACTGCTAAGGGTGGCTTTCCCGCTCTCCTGCGATGTCCATTGCTTCTCGCAGTATTTGGGCCTATTGTTTCTAATAAACTTTGTTGCTGGCTCTATCCTGGTCCTTCGGGAAAAAGTTATTTTCAAGAAGGACCCTCAGGTGTCAGGGACCTAAATATGACCAGCTCTGTGACCTTGGGGTTGACCTAAGAACATCTGAATGTTGTTCAGAGAGGTGAGCCTTGCAGGGTCTATGGATTCAAACCTCATCACCATTTCCCTGGGATTAACTTCATGACCTGGGACAAGTTGTTCAATCCTCCTAAGCTCAGACATCAGCCCCCTCATCCCTATTCTCTATCTCTAGATAAATGAAGCCCAGCAAGGGGGGGGGCGCTAGAAGAGGCCCAGCACAGACCTGGATAAATGGGATAAAAGTCCTTCCTTGTTATCACAGCCCAGATTCCCACTGCCTGCCCAGTGGCTGTGTCACTGTCTCATGACACAGCCTCTTGGCACACTGTTGCAGCTGGAAGTTCAAGGGATGTTGGCTGAAGTGCAGACAGCAGGGGAGAAGCAAGCGGAGCTGGTCACTTGCTGCTGTTGCAGGCAGGGCTCTAGCAAAGGCTGTGGTTGAAGGTAGTAAGAGCTGCTCAACGCTACATGGCCTTTCAGGGTTATTCGCCAGTGTTGTGTGCATTGCTGCCCACCTCTCTCGTGGCTTACCAGCATGCACAAACACAAGAAAATTGCTTCTAGCCTGGGGGTGGGGTTAAGGCCAGCACATTTCTTGGGGTCCTGTGAGCAAAGAGGTTCTACCTGTGGGTCCGTGCAAGTCTCACAGAAATTCCTTCAGAAAATCCTGCAATAATGGGTGTTGAGCAAGGAAATGTGGCTCAGGTGACTGAGCTACTGAGGTTTTAGTCTTACTGAATTGAACCTTAAAGTGTCACAGGGAAGTAATGTTACCATGTCTGACAGCACAGTTCCACAGGGTCTGTGTATAGTCCTGGTCATCGTGTGAACTTTTGGAAACTGGCTGCAGAATTGGATGTGTGTGTGCGTTTTTCTAGGAAGAGAACCCATGATTGCATCAGATTCTCAAAAGCACCCAAAAGACACTGAGCTGCTCCGTTAGGGCTTTGGTGAAAAGTAAGCAGGTTGAGGGGGTAAGTATGCCCTCTGGTAACCACTCCTGTTTCTCCTCTCTCCTTTCTTCCTGTCCTCAGCTGTAGGTGGCTCCCCCGACCTCTAAAGAGAGAAAGAAATTGGAATCTGAGACTTGAGGCCCCAGAGAAACTGTAGACTGCCAGAAGGGGGCGATGGCTGTGGCCCTGGGTTGTGCGATCCAGGCCTCCTTGAATCAGGGCTCGGTGTTTCAGGAATATGATACTGACTGTGAAGTCTTCCGTCAGCGCTTCAGGCAGTTCCAGTACAAAGAAGCAGCGGGGCCTCATGAAGCTTTCAACAAACTCTGGGAGCTGTGCTGTCAATGGCTGAAGCCTAAGATGCGTTCCAAGGAACAAATCCTGGAGCTGCTAGTGCTGGAGCAATTTCTAACCATTCTGCCCATGGAAATAGAGACCTGGGTGAGGGAACATTGCCCAGAGAATAGAGAAAGAGTTGTGTCACTGATAGAGGACTTACAGAGGGAACTTGAGATACCAGAGCAGCAGGTGAGAAAAGTTTGGGATTTTGGTGATTAGACAAACAGAAGTAGGAGAGACATCTTGGACTAGATTAGACATGCTATTATTGAACCCCAAGATTTCCCTTCCATTCCCCTCATTTTTTACTTGAGATGGAATTAGCAGTTTGGGTCAGTGATTCTCCATTAGTAAATTCAACTCTTCTTATTTTTAAATATTTATTTTTATTTATTGATGCATATAAGAACTGGTGTGTAGACCAGAGGTGTGGGGGTGAGAGGATTCAGCAGAAACAAAGTGGGGACAGGTGATGAACTGAAAGACGTTGTTGAGGGGAGCAGTGAGCAAGAGCAAGAGGTATGCTGCGCCATGTGGGTTAGCTCCCTGGCCGGGGATCAAACTCATGGTGGATTGAACTCATGGCTCAGTGGCTGGCAATAGCTTGGTAGCACTGAGACAAACCACTTTACCACCAGGGAGGCCCTCAACTCTTCTTCTTTAACAAATATTGATGATGTCCTGTTCAGTAGCCTAAACTTTGATTATAGATAATATAAACTACTTAGCTACTGAAAATCAAAAATACCAATAAGTGTTTTGTGGTCTGTAGTCTAAATGCAGCCCAAGCCTGTTTATTGCCCATAAGCTTATAATGGTTATAAATTTTTTTTTAACAGTATTGTTATAAAAGGAAGAAGAAAACAAAATAGACAACAGATAAGCATGACCTGTAAAGCCTAAAACACTTACTCTCTGGCTGTATATGAAGAAATTTGCCAGCCGTGAGTCAAGTAGAGTGGGATGGAAATGTAGGCAGGAAGAGGCTGGCAGCTGATTATGAACTAACAAGCATTCAGCAAGTTTGAGGTTGACCCACTGCAAGACTTGATGTCACCTGAGAAGGTGACAGTTGTCTGTAGCCCAAGAGCGTCCCAGTCCTGGCAGGTTGCTACTTGTCACAAGATTTCCAAAGTGGCAGGTAGTTCCTGGGAACTGCAATATGAACACGTAGTGTCGTATGTTGGTTGCCTTTGACTTCCACAGGAGTGCATTCCTCTGAATTTCAAGTTATGAAAAAGTATTCAAATGAAAGGAGTAATTGTAAGTTTATGAGCAACAGTGAGGTTCCGACAGATTCTTTTAACCTGTGGAATATTTTGGGGGGCTCTTCCACAGTTTTTAGGGACCTGAGCGTTTCTGCTCTGTGAATGATAATTCCATACTGGGCCCACTGAACTCCAGCAGCTACCCCTGCATCCTAGCTGAAGGGCCCCACGAGGATGGGCACTGGCCGGACTTCAGAACCACCTTGCACGGCCTGGGTTGGGGTGTGCCATAGCTGGGCACAGAGCACCTCTTTGGGACAAGGAGGAAGTGCTTCTGGGTGGGCGGGGGGTATCAGCCTGTGTGTGTAGGGGGTCTGCTGTTAGCCCACCTGAACCGGAGTCTCCGAGACTTTCCACCCCACCTAGCATGGAACAGGTTCATGGTTTTCCTGCCTTTGTCTGCCTTCTTGGTTGCTTCACCATGGGAGGATTCTCTCCGTATGATCTAGCCAGGCACTGCCCAGGGTGCTAGTTCTAGCTGGGGTGGGGAGCTGCTGAGCCCGTGCAACGTGGCTAGTCAAAGTGAGGTCTGCTCTGAGTGTGCGCCATTTCTGAAGACGCACTGTAATAAGTAGGTGAGCACTCAATAACTGCTAATTGATTACCCCTTGAGGCTATGATTGCTACAGAATGCGATTACTACAGATGTTAGATCATATATGTTCGGGTTGACTCACCTTGCTTCATGTTTTTATCCTGTGCCCACCCTCACATTTAAAATGACGGTGGTACTGGGATGAAATGCTGCTGGTCAGTTCTGGTGTTGATTTCATGGTGATGAATTCTGGCATTTTCCCAGATCGATAGCCAGGAAATGTTCTTGGAAGAACTGGCACCAGTGGGAATGGAGCACATACCACCAACCATGCACCTGGACTCAGCCCCGCTCCAGGTGATGGCCGCTGCCCCGGAGGTTGCAATGGCAGAGGCATGGATGCCACAGGCAGGGCCTCAGGAGCTGACCTACACAGCTGCTGGGGAATGCCAGCCCTTTCCAGACCCGGGTGAGACAAGGCTTTCATTCCCTTTCTCTGGCTTCTGCGGCAAGAGCTCCACAGCTCTTCAGGGCTGGGGCTGGGCTACTTTTCAGTTATCCTTGAAGATGGGCCTCTCTGATGGAGGGAATTTGGGAATGGCTGGACACCAGGACTGTCAGGTACAGAGGCATTGAGAACCTCTTACACTAGTGACTCTGATTTTAAGAGATTTATTTATATGTACAGAACTGGGGTACAGGCCAGAGGTTTTGGAGGCAAGGGGATTCACCAGAGACAGAGTGGGGAACAGAATAGGCAGACTGACTGAAATGCACTGCTGAGGGGAGCAGTCATTGAGACAGGAGAGGTCTGCTGCGCCATGTGGGTCACCTCCTTGGCCAGGGATCGAACTCATGCTGTAGTGGCTACAATAGCTTCATAGTGCTATACTTTGACTCATTGTACCACCAGGGAGGACCCTAAATGATATTTCTAAGATTCATTATTTTCTTTTTAATCTTTTTTTCAGGGTAGTAAAATACAGCCTTAATGATTGCCACTTAATGATTTTTGTATACAGTTTAATGATATTGAATTCAGTTGTAATGTGAACTCATCACCACTGTCCATCTTCATAGCTATTTTCTTGTCAAATTGACACTGTATGCCCATTTAATCAAGAATTCCTCATCCTCGCTTTCCCTCTATTCCCTGGTTACCACCATTCAGTTTTCTATATCTATTTGAGTATTCTGTTTATTCATTAAATGCAGTCTTACAGTATTTGTTTCTTTTGTGACGGCTTTTTTCACTTAGCATGGCATCTTCAGTTTTTTTCTGATGTGGTAGCATCAAAAGGCTGAAAAATACTCCACCCTCTGTGTGTAAAAATATATGCAAAAATATATATGTAATATGTTGCTTATCATGCTTCATTGCTGGGCTGCATCTAGATAGGCTATCATGAATATGGATATACAAATACCTTTTGGAGACCCTACTTTTACTTTTTTTGGGTATTTAATCATAAGTAGAATTGTTGGATCCTATGATGACTTTATAATATTTGAAGAATGTGCACAGCCTTTTCCATAATAGCTGTGTCTTCTCAGTTTCCTATCAACAGCACAAGGGCTCCAGGTTCTCCATATATTCACTAACACTTGTTAGTTTCTGGTTTTTGTTTTTTGATAGTAACAATTTTAATGAATTTGAGGGGCTATCTTATAGTCTTGATTTGCATTTCCCTAAAGATTTGTAATATTGAACATCTTTGCTTGTACTTATGCCCATCTGTAATCTGATTGGAGATGTCTGTTGAAGTCCTTTGCACATTTTTGAACTGGCCATTTGCTTTATTGTTGAATTTTAGATTTCACCATATCCTGGATATTAATCCCTTATCACATATATGATTTGCAGATAATTCCCCCATTCTTTGGGTTGCCATTTTACTTTGTTGATATTGTCTTATTTTTAAATATTTATTTATTATATATACAAAAACTGAGGCACAGGCCAGCAGTGTGGATAGGGGGATGGTGAGAGTGGCAACAGAACAGGCAGACTGACTGGAATACATTGCAGAGGGGAGCAGTGGGTGAGACAGGAGAGGTCTGCTGTGCCACGTGGGCCAGCTCCCTGACCGGGGATTGAACTCATGCTGCAGTGGCTGAGGATAGCTTCATAGTGCTGCGATTTAACTTGTGCACCAAGGAGGGCCCATTTTGGTCAACTTTTATGTTTTGATATAATGTTTAGAAATTTAAAATTTTCCCAATTAACAGTCAAATTAACTTGCTAATATTATTTTAAAATACTAATATTTAAATACCATCCTACACTTAAATGTCAAATCAGTGATTTCCAACTCACACTTCACTGCAGAACAAAATACTTTGCTAAAGTTGAGGAGGGAGCATGGGATGAGGATAAAGTCAACAGAGACTATAGATGAGGAGAGAGGTGGTAAGATACATGGGGCAGTAAATGTAGAAAGTTTTAGAGGCTGTCCTTAGACTGACATGAGAAATACTGAGTTATTTGGGTTAATTTCAAGAAAATCCATTTCTAGATTTCAGCTGAAACAAACATAAAAAACTACTTTTGCTGGTTTTCAACCCAATTGTAATTTGAAAATCTTAACTGAAATTATTCCAGTAAACAGTTTCTTAACTTTTTCTCTTTACTTGGTACTCAAAAGCAGCATTTGTTAATTTTATATGCCAAAAATTTATGTAAATATTTACTTAATATTTTATCCATTTCTAAATAAGCCTATTATTACAATAGATACAGAAGTAATTTAGTATATCGATTTCAGCACAGAATTGATTCACTCTTCTTCCAGAGATTAGAGAATAGCCGTGAACTGTGCACAATAGGATGTCTTCCTCATTTTTCTGTTGTGTTCTTATCTTTTAAAAAATAGACATGTGGGGCCTTCCTTGGTAGCACAATGGGATAAAGCACAGTACTACGAAGCTATCCGCAGCCACTACAAGATGAGTTTGATCCCTGGCCAGGGAGCTGACCTTCATGGTGTGGCAGACCTCTCCTTATCCGCCTGCTGCTCCCCTCAGCAGTGTATTTCAGTCAATCTACCTGTTCTGCTCCCCACTGTCTCTGGTGAATCCTCTTACCCTTGCACCTCTGACCTGTACCCCAGTTCTTATATAAATAAGTAAATAAATCTTAAAAAAAAAAAAAAGACTTGTGGGTCCTCCCTGGTGGCACAGCAGGTTAAAGCACAGTACTATGAAGCTATCTGCAGCCACTGTAGAATGAGTTCAGTCCCTGGCTGGGGAGGTGACTCACATGGCATGGCAGACCTCTTCTGACCTGCCCTCTGCTCCCCTCAGCAGTGTACTTCAGTGCTTCTGCCTGTTCTGCTCCCCACTCTGTCTCTGGTGAGTCCTCTTCCTTCTGCAACTCTGGTCTATACCCAGTTCTTATATGCATAAATAAATAAATCTTTTTTAAAAGGATTTATTTATTTGTACAGAACTGGGGTACAGGCCAGAGATGTGGAGGGTAAGAGGATTCACCAGAGACAGAGTGGGGTACAGAACAGGCAGATCAATGAAGTATACCGCTGAGGGGAGCAGCAGGCGGGCCAGGAGAGTTCTGCCATGCCATGTGGTCACCTTCGGGGCAGGCGGGGATCGAACTCATGCGGAAGTGGCTTAAGCTTCTTTGTGCAGTGCTTTAACCTGCTGCGCCACCAGGGAGGGCCTAAATAAATCTTTTTTAAAAAAGGCTTGTAAGAGATTCCAGGTGAAGTAGTAAGTGAGGAGGATTATATCTTAAGTGACTATATGTGTACATACAAGATAACAACAAGAACTCTGGAAAACCCTTTGATGACCCAAACTGCCATGTTTCTCATCTTTATTATAACCAGGATATCTAATACCAAAGCTTGATATGAGCTTCCCATTGGAGAATAGAGAAGAAGAATGGGTGAAGGAACTACAGGAATCCAAAGAGATTAAACAATTACTTGATTCCAAAATAGGTAAGTAATTGTTCACTGATATACTAGGGAAGAAAGATAAGAAAAATTCAGCTTTAATAAAGGTAAGAAGGTTTGCATTCTATTTTGGAGTTTCCCTATTCTTACTGATAGTTTCATATAATGTTTCATTTTCCCTCATATTCTTTCTTCCATGGGATACAGTGACATCTGCAACTTTCTTTTTTTCTTCTCTCAGGTTTTGAGATTGGAATAGAAAATGAAGAAGATTCTTCAAAACAGAAAAAACTGGAGAATTTGTATCCATTTATTGTTACTTTAGAGGGGAATGCTCTCCATGGTCCTATTTTGCAAAAAGACTATGGACAGTTAGAAAATCAATGGGAACCCCCCCCAGAGGATTTACCCACAGATATAACAAAACTTGTAGATTATCAGAGCCCCTCTGTAGGAGAGAAACCCGAGAGCTCCAACTTAGAAGAACCTCTCCAGCCTAGACCTCATAAGAAAAAAGTTCCAGGAGATAAACCTCACCGGTGTTCTCAATGTGGAAAATGCTTTGCTCGGAAGTCACAACTTACTGGACACCAGAGAATCCATTCAGGAGAAGAACCTCACAAATGCCCTGAATGCGGGAAAAGATTCCTTCGTAGTTCAGACCTGTATAGACACCAGCGACTTCACACGGGGGAAAGGCCCTATGAATGCACTGTGTGTAAAAAGCGATTTACTCGGAGGTCACACCTTATGGGGCACCAGAGAACCCATTCTGAAGAAGAGACATATAAATGTCTTGAGTGTGGGAAAAGCTTTTGTCATGGATCAAGTCTTAAAAGACATCTAAAAACTCATTCAGGTGAAAAACCTCACCGATGTCATAACTGTGGGAAAAGTTTTAGTAGACTAACAGCTCTTACTTTGCACCAGAGAACCCACACTGAAGAGAGACCTTTTAAATGTAATTACTGTGGGAAAAGCTTTAGACAGAGACCAAGTCTTGTTATTCACTTAAGAATTCATACCGGGGAAAAGCCATACAAGTGTAGTCATTGTTCTAAGAGCTTCAGACAGCGAGCTGGCCTTATCATGCACCAAGTCACTCACTTTAGAGGACTTCTTTAAGAATTGTTAAGATAAATAAGTCCTACAGAAATTGACACTAACTCAAAAACATCTTTATTACAATAGCCTCTTTGTCTTGGAAGAACCTTTTTGTTTTGGCTTGTAAGAACAGCTTTCCCCCTATTTTTAAAATCTAACTTCCAAGACATATGAATTCAAGAATATTTACCACCTACTCTTATAACTTTCCTAGCTAGATTTGACTTATTCTGACTCTACAACTCTTATTTTTTTATTACAATGAATTTTTTGTGTTCTAAGCCAACTGTATCATAAATGTAAGTATAAATCATATAAATGATGACAGCCCTTTCCAGAGTAGGGTCAATATACTAGGTGATCATGTATATCTGACATGTCTGTTATAGCAGCACCATAATTATTCTGCTGTCATTATGCAAGGTAAATTATATTACTTCAAAAATTTATCATGTCCCAAGTAGAAAGAAAGGAGACAAACAAAAAATAAAAAAGTGTAAGGGACACAAGGATGAAAGTGATGTTATTTTCCAGGTAAGAACTGGGTTATTTCCACGGACCTTTTTTTTTTTTTTTTTTTTTGTGGTTTAAGGAAGTTGGGATTTTAGCCTTTACTTTTGAATTATGCAAAGTTCTATAGTCTCTTAGTTGGCAGTCTGTGATGATGCTACTTAGAGCTGAACCTTAATTTGATGATTTATTTAGTCCACAATAAGGAAGACTCATGAGGTAGAACCCACTTGACAGTTGAAATCCTACAAGTAGAATTTCAGTTAATTTAAGCTGGCTAAGGAACTGGTGTCCACTGATTTTTTACTCTCCTTTGGTATTTAACTACTTATTTCTCAGTGCTTTATAAATTTTATCCATTCTTTAATTCAGTGTCTCTGTCAGTGTACACCACAGAACAATTTGTTCCATGAGGTTTTCTACACATAACTTTGGGGATCTCTTCCTTCTGTTTCCCCTCTGTACATTCACAATGTAGACCAGCCATTGAGACTCTGGAAGGTCTCCAGTAAAGGGGAGAAAGCACCTTTTTGGCTCATTGTTTTACAAACCTATTTGACCCCAGAACCCTTTTTCATTCACACCCAATAATAACTCACAAAACTAATGTTTTGCAAATATTCCTTGAAAAACACTGCCTTAAACAAATATTTCTATAGCTATCAATATAGTCTTGATGTTACTCTAGTTGTTTCAAGGGTGTTATGAAAAGTTCTTTAAACATATATACTTTTATGTAATACACACATCATTTTAAGAGGTAAGGGTCACGAATTCAGGTAATTTACAAGTTGCCCAGTGATTCTCAACCTCTTTGAATTTTACTAATAATTTCTCTCTCCTTTTCTCCCCCCCATCTCTTTCATTCATATACATATTGCTATTTGTATAAATATTCTCATATAACCATGATAGTGACTCAGATTTCTGTAGCAAAGGAAGAATTCTCTGTCAGTTAAAGCTGTTAATACATGAAAATATTCATTCAGCCTAGTTCCTTGTTATGAAATGCAAGCTATAGGACATTCAATTATTTTCTTTTATGAAGATACCAGTCATCCTTTCCTTAAATCAGAAGTAGGGGAAGTATATATTTTTTCTATTCCACTGAAGTTCTTGGAAGATATTTAATATAAGTATTTTTGAGGTATCTACTATGTGCCTAACAAGTCCTGTTCTAGGCTTAATGGAAGTTAGTGAAGAAGAAGTTAATTCATTGGTCAGGTTCATAAAGAGTTTATAATATCTTTAGTTAAACAAGAGTTGGGAAACAAATGGAGAACAATGCAAGAGAGTTTGTAATTAAATGCCAAATTGTGTCACATGCTAAAGCCAGGATGTGTCTTTAATTCTTGTCATCCAGGTCCCTGTATGATGCTGCTATAAGTGTAGGGTTAAAATTGAGATCCCAGTAGCAATAAACATGTAACATGGGAGGAGTCTGAATGTAGAGATGAAAAATACCGAATGTAATGGCTTCTCTTTTCTCTCTTGTGGAATTGCATTCAAACCAGAACAGTGCCTTAAAATGGATGTGCCCAACTGTCTGTATCTATGCAATATTTTAATAAAATGTAAATGTGTATGTTCTTCCGGTTTCAATTGCATTAACTAATTGTTTGAACAACTAAGAGGTGTGTCCCTGAACAGATGCAATAAGCACAGTTAACTCCTGCCCACCCTAAATTGGAGGATTAGTGTTGGGTTTAAGCATCATTTTTAGCATTTAATCATTCAATTTCAGTTAGTAGCTTACAATTATAGTATGAGCTGCATTCTCCTCCCTCATCTATATTATAAACACACATCACTAGATTTTATAGAGTACAGAACACTATTTTTTATAGTGCCCTATATATAATAAGTAATAATAAATATTTGTAACATTGAATCAAGAAATATGTGACATAGTTCTTGGAAACTTATAGTTGAATATTGCATGGATGTACCTAATTAATTTCTGAGCATTTAGAATTGATAAGGGCATAACACAGTACCTACATCGTAAGTATATCACACATCCTTAATAACCTTCAGTCAATGATGGACCACATATTTGAAGATAGTCCCAATAGGCTATGTCTGCGTAGCAGGCCATCTGGGTTTATACAATCATGCTTTATAATTTCACAGTGGTAAAATTGCCTAATGGTGCATTTCCCAGGTAACATCTATGTTTTTAAGGATGTAGATTCTACCATGAATATTAAATCAAATATGTTTAGGCCCTGCACAGTGTAAGCTTTTGACATCCACCACGCTGTATTTTAATTCTTTGTTGTTTAATGGTAAATTAAAAAATATATATTTTAGGCCCTCCCTGGTGGCGCAGTGGGTTAAAGCACTGCATTGAGAAGCTAAAGCCACTTCCGCATGAGTTCGATTCCCGCCTGCCCTGGAGGTGACCACATGGCATGGCAGACCTCTCCTGACCCGCCTGCTGCTCCCTCAGCAGTGTACTTTGTCCATCTGCCTGTTCTGCTCCCCACTCTGTTTCTGGTGAATCCTCTCACTGCCCCTGCACCTGTGGCCTGTCCCCCAGTTCTGTGTGCATCCTAGTATTATGATTCTAAAGACCCTAGAAAATAAGGATTCTACATTTAGGGTACAAATTTACAATACAGTCCTACACCTCTCAATTGCTTTAATGTCATTAGGAGTAACCTTGCTGTTTGGGAAGGGGCAGTGAGAAGAGACTGGGTTGCCCCCCATTCTGCCCAGTCTGCCTCCCTGCAATTTTACACTTTGTTCCGTTGGTAAGAGGAGGGGCTTTTGATATATGTTCTATGGATATTAGTAGCTGCCTCTCTACTAAGATGGGTAGTAAAAACAGGAGGCTAAAGTACATAGAAGACTCCTAGATTCTCCTCACCAGGATGGCTAAGAAAGTGTTCCCTCTGCATCCACATTGCCTCCTGCAGACAGAGGCCCTGCAGAGCTGCCTAAGGTCTCCACAACAGTGGCCCTTCTGAGGCGGCAGGATCGGTTCACAGTGTGCCAAGGCTAGTGTGTCTAGGCTACCACCCAGGCAGTCGAGGGGCCAGCACACAGGTGACTCGGCCCCCAAGAGGCCACTATCATGATGGGGAGGAGAGATCCCACTTTGCTTGCTTATACTTGCACCCCTGTGACTAAGGGAAGAGGAACAGCAGGCTCTTCCAGGACACTGCATGATCTTCTAGAAACCATCTTGTTTCTAGCCCAGTGATACAGGCCAAAGAAACTCAGAAATAGAGTTGACACTTAACCTTTGGGGCTGCTGCTTCTTTTCTAATAGAGATGGAACAGACAGGAAGGAAGTCAGCTCGTCTCTTAGTTTCTCCTAAGCATTAATAATCAGTTTACTTAGTCCCTCCCTCCTCTCCTCCTAGGTTTTTAACTACTGGGGTTGCAGGGGCTTGGGGTGAATTCTTCCCTAAGCAAAGTGATATACAGGTTAGTCCCTATCCAGCCTTTTCCACCTTGTGTTTCCATTTCTGCACCTTCTAGTGTGATGATCTTGTTCCTTCAAGGAGTAAACAATACATGCTTTGAAGTGGACTTGTAGGCTTTGAATATCTTACTTTTGATGGAAAGCACATCAAATAACATTATACAGAACTGGCCTGTTTCTGGGTCACAGGCTAAGATGGCTTAGAAGCCCATGGACCTAACTGCTTTTTGGGTTTTCTCTTATTTTCTGTGTTCTTTATATATGTAAAAAGAAAACACTAACATTAATAAAATCTGTAAACGTTTTCTCCTGTCAGTCTGTCTTGTCTCAGTTTAATTTACAGGCTTCAAGTAAAAAACCTAAAGCTTTTTCCTCCTCTACAATATCAATAGAAGTGCAAAATGTGTTTGACTACACACAACATTCATTTAGGATAAAACTCAGTAAATCAGCAATTAAAAGGAACTTCATCAATCTGACAGAATATCCACAGAAAACCTACATCTAATATCAAGCGTAGGGAAATGCAAATTAAAACCAATGGAATGCCACTTCACTCACACCAGAATGACAAAAAAAAAAAAAAAAACCAAAAACAAAACCCCAGACATTAAAACATATTGGTGAGGATGTAGAGAACTTGAACCCTCATACACTGTTGCTGACACTGTAAAATAAATCAAATGGCCACTTTGAAAAATAGTCTGGTAGTACCTCAAACAGTTAGCATATGTTAGCTAATCAAATTTAGCATATGACCCAGAAATTCTACTCCTATGTAGACACCTGTTAATCAAGCTAACAACTCAGTGGGTACCCCTCTCCCTGGCCCCAACTACAGGGTACAAGCCAAGAGTCTGGATGCAGCTGGTCTGATCCTGAATAGTCTGTGCCAGGAGAAAATGCTGTCTTCTGAAAGTGGAAAAGCAACATTTTGGAAACCACTGCCTCCAGACAAATCAGTAACTTCAAAGAATGCCAACTCTGAAATATGTAACCTTGCTAAAACACTCAGTTCCCAGAAGATAAAACATGTTTATTTTATTTAGATAGGGTAAATCTTAACAGTGTTCTTTGTTTTCCTAAAAGCATAGGCAGCATCAGAGAGATACATTAACCGAGTTCTACAAGGATTTTTCTTGTAAGAAATTCCTAAAATGCTACAAGTAACCTTGGAACTGCATAATTCCCACTGAGAAGCTCAGAATTCAGGCACCTTTCCAAGAGCTATCTGGCGGTTGTTCCTGGGCTCCCAGCTCCTCAGTCGATTCTTTAATAAACTCATTCCTGCCAGCTTCAATTTATTTACACTGACAAACCCAAATAGAGGAAACATATACATACACAAAACTTGTAGAAATGTACAGTAAAAATGTGGAAGCAACCTGAATATACATGAACTGATGGATGAATTAATGAAATATGATCCACCCATACAATGGACTATTATTGGACAATAAAAAAGTAATGAAATAATGATGCATTCTGCAACATGGATGAACCTTAAAACAGTATGCTAGGTGTAAGAAACCAGTTCATCATACATGAAATATGATCCTATTTGTATGAAAAGTACGGGAACAGTCAAATCTACAGATAGAAGCTAATAGCTGGGTGTGATCACAGAAGGAGACAGTCAAAGAGAGTGTTGCTTAAACCACTGTCAGCCTAATCTGACCGTGTACATGCTCAAGTCTGCATCCTCAAAGGGACATCAGGAGCTTCACAATGGGAAAGAAATGCTTTAAAAATTACCCAGCCAAGTCATTAATCAGATTAGCAAGCAACAAGTCCACAGGACATCCATATCTAGGCCTGCTAGAATATATTTTCCAAATGTCTATTTTCAACAAAACATATATGGGGGCACTCCCTGGTGGCACAAGGGGTTAAGTCTCAGCACTATCAAGCTGTCTCCAGCCATTGCAGCAGGAGTTCAATTCCCAGCCAGGGAGCTGACTCACACTATGCAGCAAACCTCTCTTGTTTTGTCCACTGCTCCCCTCAGCAGTGTATTTCAATACATCTGCCTGTTCTTCTCCCCACTCTGTCTCTGGCGAATCACCTCACACCAACACCTCTGACCTGTACCCCCAGTTCTTGTATGCATGAATAAAAAATAAATCTTAAAAAAAAAAGACAGGGAAGATGATGCCAGGGAAAATGATAGAGTAACAATTTCTGAAAATGACAACAAGAATGAGGAGAATGAGGCAAAGATGGTTAGGATCAACCTCTTCAGAACTATAGAAGTAACACAAAGGCTTGTAGCTGTCCAGAAAACATTTCTTCAAGAAAAAAATGGCTGAATCTCAGTAAAAGAGCAAGCTTGATGGCATTTTAATTTACTTTCCTGTCTCCTACCCGGTAGCTCTACCATAGCCTGGAAAACAAACAGCCCGCATTCAAGGTGAAACCAGCATAATTCCCTGAGAATGGACTCCAACCCCTGGAATCCACTGGAGTTACAGAATGGGAGCTGGAGCTGCTGCATAGATTCAAGCACAGAGGGGTGTCCTTATTTTCTGGCTATTGGTTCTCTAGACGACTTCATTTGCAAGGCTGCTTTCTTTGACCTGATGTGGAACTCACTTGGTGCAAAAAAGCTCTTTCTCCAGAAGTCTTTGTAAGGACATTTTCTAATGATACAAACATAAATCCACCAAGAAGACCAATATACAACTTTTGATTGTATTTCTATTCTCTGACAATGTACAAGCCAAAAATACAATTAAGAAAACTATTTCATTGACAATAGCATCAAAATAGACTTCAGAAGAAGTTGAACAGAAGTGTAAGAACAAAGTTGAGAGAATCACAGGAAGTGATTTCAAGTTGCAGTGGTCAAGACAGTATTGTATTGCCACAACTTTATACATGGAGGCTGAAGTGTCAACGCTATTCAGTAAGGAAAAGAAAGTTTTTAAGTAATGGTACTGGTAAACTAGATACCTGTTTTTTGAAAAACTGAAATGAGTATTACCTCAGACCTCCTGCCATCCACAAAAATTACATGGGCTGGGTAACAGATCAAAATGCAAAACTAGAACCAGAAGAGTGCAGAGGTGGGGGGATTTCACACAATTTGTGGGTTCTTACTTGGCTCTCACGATAGCAAGACACAGGCTCAATCTCAGGGCGCAACAACAGGGTCTA